TATTGTTTTTATTGTTTTTATTGTTTTTATTGTTTTTATTGTTTTTATTGTTTTTATTGTTTTTATTGTTTTTTATTGTGTTTGTATTGTTTTTTTTTATTGTTTTCTTATTGTTTATTGTTTCATATTGTTTTTTGTTTTTATTGTTTATTTATGGTTTATTTATTGTTTATTTATTGTTTATTTATTGTTTATTTATTGTTTTTTATTGTTTTTAACCGCCTTAAAAAAATGAGGAGGATTTTAATTCTTCTGGATATTTTCTTTTTTGTGTATGTTCATTAATAATTGTTTACCACATTTTCCGATTTTTATTATTCTTTTTATGTTAGAAAGGGGGTACCTCAGGGGTGGTTCCATATAGATTCGATCAAGAGCTGGTGATGAAGTCTATGAAAAAAATTACCAACGATTTTGAAGTCGGTTTATTAAAATTGCTCGCATAACTTGTTTATTGTTGTGTTATTATTTTGATTTTATTGTTTTTATTTTTATTTTTATTATTTTGAATTGTTTTTTAATGTTTGTTATTGGTTTTTATTGTTTTTTAATGGTTTTTATTGTCTTTTATTTTGTTTTTATTGTTTTTAATTGTTTTTCATTGATTTTATTGTTTTTACTGCTATCTATTGTTTTTTATTGTTTTTAACCGCCTTCAAAAAATGAGGAGGTTCTCAATTCGTCTAAATATTTCCTTTTTGTGTATGTTCAGCGACAATTTTTTACCACATTGTTCGATTTTTATGATTCTTTTTATGTTAGAGAGGGGGTACCTCAAGAGTGGTCCTATATAAATTTGGTCAAGAGCTGTTGATGGGACCTATGAGAAAATTACCAAATTCAATGTGTCATGACCTTTGCACGATTTTGAAGTTGGTTTATTAAAATTCCTTTCATAACTTGTTTATTGTTTTTTCTTATTTTTATTTTGTTTTTTTATTATTTTAATTTTATTGTTTTTATTTTTATTTTATTCTATTGTTTTTATTGTTTTTCATTATTTTTTATTGTTTTTTTTTATTTTTTTTATTAAATTTTTGTAATTTTAAACGCATTTAGCGTCATTTCTTAAAACTTGAAATGTAAACGTTTGTTTTCCGTAAAATAAACACTTCTTGTGATTTTTTAGAAAAGATTTTTGGACTACTTTTGGTCTTATCTAGCTTTTTAATCTATTTAATAAAGAATTAAAACCCATTTAGCGTCATTACCTAAAACTTTTTTTATTATTTTTTATAGCTTTTATTATTATTTTTTATTTTTTTTATAGTTTTTTATTGTTACTTATTGTTTTTTTATTGTTTTTTATTGTTTTTTATTTTTTTTTAAATTATTATTTTATTGATTTTATTGTTTTTTGTTTCTTAATATATGTCGTTTCTTTATTTTTGTTGTTCTGTTGTTCTTTTATTTGTTTTTTTATTGATTTTTAAGTTTAAATCGACTTCAAAAATGGAGGAGGTCTCAATTCGTCGGAATATATATTTTTTTTATCTATGTATAGCGATAATTCTTTACTACCTTGTTCAATTTCTATGAATCTTTTTTTCTTAGAGACGGGGTACCTCAGGGGTAGTTCCGCATACAATTCGTCAGAAACTAATAATTTATGAATATACAAATCCTAATTTTGGGTAGGTTTTTAAAATTATTTTTATAACTTTTTTTTGTTTTTTATTTCTTTTTTGTTTCATAGTTCTTTATTATTTGTATTTTTTTTAATTTTTAGTTTCTTTATTGTTTCTAATATTTTTTATTGTTACATATTTTCTCAGTGCCAACTTAAGTTATAATAACAATCCTATTTTGAGATGGAGCTCTGTATTGTGTGTCACATGTGTATTGACATCTTTGTATTTATATTGGAATAAAATACTAAATCTACGTTTATACGTTACCAATATTTTGTATTTTAACCAGATTTTATTAGGAAAACCGCCACTCGAACCTTGCCGTAAAATTTTATTCGTTTTGCGACTGAAACCTTGAGATAAACGCCACTCGCTCGGGTTATAAATGAAAAGGATTGTCAATGCGGGAGCCCAAAGTTGAATTTGAACTGCTCGATCCAGCTATTACGAATATCTACGATTTTCGAACGTCTTTGCCTTATAAACTTTAGATCTTTTTATTCACATTTCGGATGTTTTAAAGCCAATGAAACTTTTTATCATTTGAGGATGTGATGTCCTTCGATACCAATATAATTTAATATTTAAAATGTAATAAACATAATTATTAAATCATTTACAAATTGTTTTAAATATAAAATGTTCAGCATAACTTTCTTCTAATTTTCAAGCAAATCAAGGTACTGAATAATATTAATAATAAATATGCATGAGTTGTTGTCAAAGCTTCAATTACCGAAACAGCTGTAAGAACTTTAAAATCGAAAATATTTTAGTTTAGTTGGAACAAATGGATGCTTTACCTAAATTACACAAAAGAATACAACAAAACGAAACATAGAACGATTAGTTGTAAGTCTGCGCAGGAAAATAAGAATGAAAAATATATTCTGGAACAAAAGTATGGTATGTTATGTTATGTTGATAATGGGGTGTTAATACACTGCGACCTAAAAGATCTATTGTGCCCCCTTCTGTCGCCACTGCACTAAGGAAATGTCTCAATGCCTATAGCGACCCTTCCAATCCTATTTTCTCAAGGAAGTGTAGGATTTGAAGTGGCTTCAAGTTAGGTAAGTCTCCCTCTTCTATTTGATATCCTCCTAGATATAGTGCCCTTGGATTCTGGAGTGCTACACATTCAGTTAGGATGTGAATGGAGGTTTCGTCCTCCTCCTCACAGAATCTGCACTCACTATCCTCTACTACTCTCAGTTTACTTAGGTGTCCTTTTAGTCGGCAGTGCCCGGTAAGGATCCCTGTTACAATACGTAGCCTGTTCTTGCTCAGGCAGATGCAGGCTTCCGATCTTTTTTGGTTATATTCACCCAGAAGTATCTTGGCCTGTCTCAGCCCCAAGAGATTGTTCCAATTATCGGTTCTTCTACTACCCAATTCTTTTTTAATCTCTTCTAATATTATGTTACTGCTGATACCGCAGAACGGCTCAGGTCCTACAAAGGGTGTTTGAGCCCCTTTCCTTGCAAGACTATCTGCAATCTCGTTACCCTGTACCCCGTTATGTCCCGGGATCCAAGTGAGAGTAACTCTATTTTTCTCGCCTAGCTCATTCAATTGTTCTAGGCATCTCCATACCATTTTTGAGCTGATTACGTAAGAACTCAGCGCTTTGATGGCTGCTTGACTATCGGACATGATGATAATCTCTTGTCTATGATAGTTTCTCTCGATGTTAAACTGGATACACTTCTCGATGGCGTGAATTTCCGCCTGGAAGATGCTTGGGTATTTTCCCAAGCTTTCGGAGTGCTTGGTTCTCGGCCCATACACTCCTATTCCAGTTCCTTCTATGGTTTTGGAACCGTCCGTGTACCACTGAATAGCACGTCTTTCGGTTGCAAGCGCGATGGATTCTTGGCTCCATTCTTTCTTGCAGCCCAGCTCTGTCGTTTTGAAGTTTTTCACAAAACTGTACTTCTTTTGCATTTCATCCTGGAGCATGTCCCAGGTATCTTTAGTCCTGAAGCAAGTAGACTTTCGTCTGATTACTTCGTTCCTGATCATCCTATATCGTGTCCTTTTTGCCACATTCTCTATCATCAAATGTAGAGGGGTGAGGTTTAAGATCACCTCCATTGCGGTATGGTAATCTGATTATGACATCAAATCCTGCAGTATTTGAGATCACTTAAACTCGTATTTGCAGAAAACAGACATTTTAAATAAAAATGAAGGGTACATAAAGTAATGAATGCAACTTTTACTTCGTCATAAAAAAATGTCAAACACATTTATTTAGTAACTGCAAATGATAATATGGTAGTTGCTACATCCACTTGTGCACAAAAAATAAGAAACTTAACACAAGTGTTAAAACTGTTACTCGATATAGCAAAAACTATTCTCTTATAGATAATTCAAACATCTCGCAAACTAAGGCGCTAAATTGATGCCCAAGTTGACTCATTAAATTCAGCAGGATTAAACACGTTACACTTACTAAACGTAAACTACTTTGCACTATACGTACTCCCTCCCCGTGCGAGTTACGTAAGGCATTAGCGAAACCTTCTGAAAACAAACCGTTTTGCGCGAAACATTACACTTAAATCTCGGTGCAGGCGACACCTTTGTAGAAAGAGACTCCTTCCTCGTCTAGTTTTACAAGCTTTGTTGTCATAGATGCAGTAGCGTAACGCTAATAATTTGTCTTTTGATTGATAAACAAATATTTTTCTATTTTGTTTGTTATTGTACTGAATTTATGGTTTCGCTCAGCAACGTCTTTCATCACAGACAGTTCGCGATATATTTGTTGAATTTAGTTCATACATCGAGATCGAGACAGCAGACAGCGGCAAGCGACCGCGTACGGCGACTGAAAACGGTCTCTTTACGTCTGATCACATGTAATTAAATTAAGCACATTTAGGATAGCTCGACCGATGCAAGAGACATTACAGCACTTTTAATACGGCAGTGTCTGCTGCGTTGCATCATCTTGGGCAAGTTGTATATCCATCCTTAACTGATTTCTCAGTTGTGAAGCATAATTTAGGTGGGCATTGTGCTCTGTTTTTAATTCATTCAGTTCTACTCCAGCTACACTTTCTTTCTTAGCTCGATAAACGCCACATGTATCTTTATGTGGTTTCTTAAACCGCAAGTTGAAGCCATTTTAAAATTGTCTTTTAAAGCAGGATAGGCTAACTCCATTAGAATATTTTTCTTTGTAGAGATCGTATAGAATTCTCAGATTAAGATTGGGTTCTAAAAATTTGGCTGTCAGTAATTTTCTACAGTAATGTGACTTATACTTTGGTAGACTGTCAATAAATATCTTGATTTCATTAACTTTCTCTCTGAAATTTTATTTAAACCACCGACTGCCAATCCTCTTTGATCATTCTATGGTACTGATTGGTTTGTTTTAGCCAAAGCAATATCAATCCGTGAGTGACTAATACCAAATTTGTTTAAAAACAATTTATTGCAAACGGTAACAATTGTATACAATCTCGTAAATGTTCTCTTTGACGTATTCGAGTACCTTCTAGCTTTTAGTTTTTGTTTGACAAAGGATTGAATCCAAAACCCATGAAATTCTAATTTTCTTTGTTCAGCAGATACTTTCGCTGTACATTTATTGGGACATTTACAATCAAAGTGGTCTCCCTGAAATTCTTTACTCTTTACAGTTTTACCATTGCATTTATTGGACTCCTGGCCTCTGTTCAATCTCGTCTTTTTAACAATTTTGTTTTGTTCGGGGTATTTTCTTCTTCTACCCTTTTTCGGCCTTCCTTTTATATTTCTACTGACATCTTGACTCAGATTAGCGGAAGTATTACCACTAGCAGATGACGAGGATTGTGCAGCAAATGAATCATTATCGACGATTGAAATTGAGATCTTTTTAGTTTCTCTTTCTTGTGCGTTATTATCTTCTAACTTTACATTGCTAGTGGAAATATCAGAAAAAATATGTGTACAACTTGAATTATTGAATTGGATAGATTGCTCCAAATCGCCTACAGAAATAAATAATGTTGGTACTAGAGATTCAGTTTCTAGAGACATTATATTCTGTTTAAACGGTACACCGTTGTTATTCTTTTCAACTAAATGTATTTCGCATGAATGTGTCAACCGTAACTTAACATAGTTTTGCTTATATTTCATTTTAGAATAATACACTAAACGGAGCTCTGCAAAAATGTGTTAATCTAAAAATTTTGTGGTTAAACTACTTTTATAAATACATTTTCGTATTTTTCAAAAATATTTTAAGTGCTTTTAAAACATTTTTGCAAAAAATAATACATCAGAAGTTATATTTCGTATTTTTCAATACTATGTTAACCGGCTCTTAAACCATTACTGCAAATATACAATTTGTTTTTAAGTGATATGCTAATAAGTGTTAAGTTACTTAACATATTTTTGAAAAATATTGAATTCAATCAATCGGAACGTGGTTTAAATTTTTTATTTTTTTTTCTATATTTTGGATTTTTTTTGCTAATTTGTTTACCAAATGAAAATATTTCTATTTAAACATCCAACGATAATATTAACTTAAAATTTCAATTTTTGTGGGTTAACACATTTCTGCATAACAGCTTACATTCAACTTGTCTTGTAACAGTAAATAATTTTTAAGAATGGCCCTAGATTAGAACCTTGAGGTACACCGGATATCGCAGCATACTGTTGCTCCCATTAATGTTTTTAATGATTAATATGGTTTCTTTTTTATTATTTTTTGTTTTTATTTAATATATGGTTTTATGTTTTTTTTATTTTAGTTGTTTTTTTTTATATTTTTTCTTGTTTTACTAAAATAATCATGAATTTTGCGATATGCAAGAACCACAAACAACACCAGCTTCATGAATAAAATTGTAAATGCTAATCTTTCGGTGCATCGGTGATTTAAACAAGAAATCATATTTGCATTAGATTGGAAGCATGAGGTACACCGGATGCCGCAGCATACTTAATTTTTTTATTAATTTTTATATTTTATGTTTATATTTAGTTTATGGTTATAGGTTAACTATGTTTTTTTTATTGTTTGATTAATTCTGCGATATTTAAGAATCACAAACGACAACCTCTCCTTGTTTTGTAGATACCCAGTACCCAATGTTTATAATAAGCTCGCGCCCCCTTTGATACGCCACTATATTCAACTTTCCGAACAAATGTTTAGTTTAGGATGAAATGGGAAATTTATGTTAAATTGCTGCAACTCCTACTAAGAGAAAGGCGATGTTGTTGACCCAAAGTTTTGGAACTCCAGTGTATATTTTTTCCGGTAGACATTTCGAACTCCATGCCAAACGATTCGGCGAAGGAAACTAATATACTATTTTCTCGTCTTCCTATTGTGACAGGGCAAATAGGGGGCGAGAAAAATAAATTGAAATACAATACCGTATCGCGTCTTAGAGTAATCCAGTTATAGTTGTGAGATGTGACTGACTGTTTTCTTGTTTGCCTGTTTGTTTTGAAATAGTTGGAAACAAATGAACATTTATCACTATGACTAATTATTGTATATTTATTTTTATAATTCTAAATAATGAGACGGTGGTTTCTTTATCAGTGATTCTATAGAAAATATTTTAAACTTCCAAAACCTTAACTCAGTCATAAAGGGGGAGGCAAGAATGAGTACACATACAGTCTGAACATCTATCTCCAAAAGCTGGAATACTGGGAAATTAAAAAAACAAGATAACACATGAAGTAATGATCCAATATTACATTATGAAATCAGACCACATGACAACCCGTCTAAGCTTTGTTGTCATATTATTTAGTTTGAAAAGACGAAAAATGTATATAAATCACATACTTTGATTACTATACGGAGCAAAAGAGAGGTCCGACACGCCCAACATAGGGCGCGGCCATTTTGATTCCTATGACACAGTTTACAGATAAAGAATCAGATCGCTCACTCTGCGTCGGCACTTTTGATCTCAATGTTCTAGTTTATACACTGCGCAACTCGAATAATACAATATATGACAACCGCCTATAATAAAACAGCAGTCTTCTGCGTATCTTGAATTTGTATCCCTGGAGTGGATGTTATTTTGGAACTTTCAACTGGTCCGAGTGAGCTAACTGATTCTTTAGCAATAAACTGTGACTCCAAAAATAATATTCACTGACACTGACAGCAGCAAGCAAAATATAATCATGCGCTTCTGCTTCCGGAATTGTCGGTTTAGTCGTTTTAACCTGTCAGATTAAAACAAAAAAACCGACAATTCCGAAGCAGAAGCGGATGATTAAAACGCACCTATTAAAAATATTGCGCCAAGATGTAGGCAACACGTAATAAAGGTTCAAAATGGCGGAGTTTTCTATCTCCTTTTAAAAGGCACTCAGAAAGCTGCGCAGTGCGACCATTCTCCGTATAGTAAAAGAAAATAATCAAAGTATGTGATATAAATGCTTTTCTAAATATTCAACAAAACAGGGATGACTATCGATAATTGCTCTCTAAAAAATATCTAGTGAGTGGAACCTTTTTTATTAAATAGTGATGGATTTAATGATAGATGTCATAATTTTTTAAGTCGAAAAGACGAAAAAAGTGTAGAAATGCTTTTGTAAATATACTCAAAACAAACACAGATGAATTATCAATAAATGATGCTTTCTAAGAAATACCTAGTGAGTGAAACCTTCTTTATTGGATAATGACTAATGACAGATGTCATTATTTTAGGTTGACAGTCTAAAAAGAAGAATTTAGTAATGCAAAAATATGTACGAATACCGAAACTAAATAATAAAATGTTAATAATTAAGGAGAAAGTGAGTGTAAAAGTTTTTAATAATGACGGATAACAGATGTCATAATTTTTTAGATTGAAAAGAAGTCTGAATGGACATACGATAAACTAATTACGAACTTGTAGAGATATTTGTATACAAATTAGTGAAGACAATAATAAATGGTTGGATAGTTGTCTTATTTTTTAGGTTGACAGCCTGAAAAAAAGAAGAAAATATCTAGTAATAATGTTGGAACTGTAAAAATAAGAACAAATACCGATGTTGTTGGTGTGAGTAGACAAGAATGTGATAATAAATGGATGATAGATGTCATATTTTTTAGGTTGAAAATGTATTTAAAATAATAATGACATAAGAAACTGAATCTGTGAAGATAATTCGAGTACAATCGATGGTCGTACATGGTATATGGCTCAAGATTTATAATTGTTAAGTTTATTGCTGCTGTATTTATTTTTTAATAAAGATAATTGTTATTAATATCCAACGACGATGACGTACAACAATGAACGAAGATTATTAATATCCAACGACTCTGACTAACGATGATGTTCGACAACGAACCAAGATCCTCCAGATCTCCAGACAACGACGATGACTAAGGAGGACGTATTACAATGTACGAAGAGTATTTTGTTACCTTGTTATTAATATACAACGAAGAAAACGATGATACGACAATAAACGAAAACGAAAAACGCTGATGCGATTTCTACCTGTCAGTTAGCCCTAAGCTTATTCTCAATGCAAAAAATATGGCCCTTTTGGCTGTTGGCTTCCCCTACGTATCATATTCACACATGGCAGCTGTAACGCATTGACGTTGTTGACAATGTTGTTTACTTGCTCATCGATGACAAATTGTATGATGCCAATTAAATTTCTACGAATTTCTGTGACTTTCTCTATCCGATCGTCTGCTTATCCTTATATTTGCCACCTCCATCCATCCTTCCGTCTGTCTGTCCTTTTGTATCAGCTCTCTTTCCGTATGTCTATCTGTCTGTTCGTTTGTCCACCTAAAATCATTTTGACAATTCTACAGCGTAGAGTTATTTCAATGGCATGTAAATTGACCCCATTTGACCAGTAGCGAAGCATTGCTCTGACTCCCTAGTTTTTTTCCGTCTGAATTGCACCAATAGCAATGACTTATGACCTTTTGACTTCGCCACTGCGCTTCAACGTTATTCTACATGTATTTACCCCTCTCTCTCTCTCTCTCTCTCCCCACTAGACCTTCTTCTTCAGTTCTTCATGTTTCTAGAGGAAGGCGTTAGTTTGGATGACTTTTTGTATAGGACACTAAATTTAGGTTGGCAGTTGACAGATTACAGTATGTCTGTGTATGTCCCTATATGTTCTTGTATGTCCCAGTATGATACGTCTGCTACATAATAGCGTTTTTCCCGTTTGAATTAGACCAATACCAGCTGAGATATAGCCCTTCTGTATATGTTTTTGCTCTTTATCGTTAATCTACATGTAATTTCCTCTCATTCTCCGTTTTTTGTCATTTAAAGCGGACCAATTATAGCTGATATACAGACTTAGGCCCTTTTGACTTTGACTCGCTACATGATTTTTCTATTCAACGTTAATCTATTCCATGTTTTCTGCATAATGTTGTTTTTCTCATTTATATCTGACCAACAATAGCCGAGATATACGTTTAGGTCCTTTAAGTATTGTTACTAAGCGTTATTTTATCTTCAACTTTTTTCTACATATAATTTCCCTCACTACCTCGTTTTTCCTATTTGAATCTGACCAATAATAGCCCAGATACAGACTTAGGTCCTTTTGACATTGCTACTGAGCAGGGTTTTTCTCTTCAACGTTAGTCTACATGTAATTTACATACTCCCACGTTTTTTCCAGTTGAATCGGACCAACAATAGCTGAGATATAGACTTGTCCAGGATTTTTCTATTCAACGGTCATCGCATACGTAAACGATGGACCATCTTAAATTGCTTAGCCGAGTTGTAAACCTCTTAGCTAAGTTTCAATTGTCCGCAACTGCCAGATGGCCCCTTCTAGCTGAGACTTTGAAAGTAGTACTAACATTCTCTTCCTAAGCACCTTCATTTTGAATGAGGTAAATCAGGAGGTTCTGATGGTCTAGTATGCTCTACAGATGGATATATAACTAGCAAGAGAATAGGTTCTGGCATAAAAGGGACCACCATCTCATTGGAAAATCATACCACATAACCAGGACATAAAGGTATCAAAGGAAAAGAAAAAGCTGATAAACTTGCTAAAAATACATAAAAACATTTAAAGAACCTGTGATTGGGACATTTAAACTTCTGCTCAACAGACAGTGAAAAAGTGTAATAAACGTTTATATTGATAGA